TCCAGGTGGCAGAAACAGCCCCAACCCAAATGGAGGTGGAGGCTGCCCAAGGCAAACGGACACTGCTGTTTCGCATGACAAGGAGCACGTGCACCACCAGAGCCAGCCTCCCTCCCTTCTCAGGGAGACCTTGCCCTGCTAGCAGCCAAGTAAAACAGCATCAGGTAACGGGGGGCAGCAGGCAGGCTGGAACTGAAAACTGAGGAAACGTCGTTCATGTTCCGACTGTTGTGCAAAACTTCACAGGAAAAGCAGTTCACTGGGCAACCCAGCATTTCTACTAAAATACTCTCTCTGCTTCTAAACTTTTTAAGATCTTGCAAAAAAAAAAAAAAAAAGGCAGCGTGTAAGTTAATTATATGCCCCCCAAAATCACTCAAAAGAGCACAGTATTAATAATTTGCAGAGGTGAGCAGGGGAAATTCACAGAAATGCTACAAGGTATAACTGGGTACCAACCAAGACCCAAACGCGGCTGCTGGCAATCCAGTCCATGGCTCTCCAGCACCACAGAGGAGGAAGCTGAAGTGGAAAATAACACAGTCCAACTACTCCCAGCATGTTGAAAGGCACAGCTATACAGGCCTTTTCTGGCATCCCATCAGACAAGAAGAAATCCTAGAATTCACACCCATTAACATTTACATTTAATCCAAGCGCGATACATATCACAATTTTGTTGCCCAGTTAATGTAGAGTTTATCCACCTTTGCCTGTAGAATAGAGCTGTCACCCATTAGATTAGGCCTCACTCAGGAGAAATTTGATTTAAATCAATGAGAATTCCTGGCCCCCTGATGGTCTCTTTGGCAGCAACACAGACAAGCAACGGCATGAGCAGCCAGGATTGTTTCCACTGTTTGGTCTTCAAGCACCAGCTATGCGATATTATCTGACGCCTCCATTCAACAAGGAAAGATTCAGAAATTATATTTGTTTTAGCATTTTCAAAACCATCCTTCCTGCTTGCATCATCATTACTGCAAATGGTTCAAAATGCAGCATCTTGTGTCCTACAACCATTGAGCAACACAGCTCTCTGTGAAAAATTTGCACTGGATACCAGGCAGATTTTACATGTATTTTAGAAGTCTTGTGCTTATTTTCCTAACATCTTACATCACCATTCTGCTCTTCTTATAACTTCCCTTCGGTTAGTTGGATTGGGTGGTTGTCTGTGCTGTATTCTCACATCATGTCTGTAAAACAAGATGTGTCTGTCATATCTACAGTCAGTGCCCAAAGCTGATGCTCTACTTAAATTTCTTGTGAAAGGACTTAAGCTTCTTGAGGGTCACTCTCTCAGAGGAGGTGAGAAGGGTAGCCACACATATCTACGGTCAGTGCCCAAAGCTTAAATTTCTTGTGAAAGGACTTAAGCTTCTTGAGGGTCACTCTCTCAGAGGAGGTGAGAAGGGTAGCCACAGAATTTGCAACAATACATCCTGCCTGTTTTGCCTAAATAAGAAGTACTGAAGAAATACAGAGAGAGGGGAGAGGTTAGGGTCTAATTGTTACTACCTGCTGATACAGTTCTTTTATTGGACTTATTCAAGATGACCTGTAACACTGCTGTGAGGCATGTCAGAAGTATACATTACAACTGAGGTATCCAAATTATGCAAAAAATAAGTGTTCGTTTTCATTTCTTAATGGAACGTGTATAACAAATATACCAAATTTCCTAACTATAGGACAGTGGTCACTTAGAGCAGTGTAGTTTATTATATACAGTGCTCTGCCAGCGTGCCTGTCTTGATGTAGGCATCAGAGAGCAGAAAGCACAAACAAACCTCACCTCTGAGCCTTCAATACTGTCTGATGAACCAAATGATTTTACATACAGCTTGCTATTTCTGCCGTACTGCAGACTCAGACAGACATCAACAAGCAACTTTTCATAATGCTCTGAAACCCCATCAGATGGTCATTTTATTTCAGTACCAACATCATGCCCATTAGCACAAGCCACTCATTCACAGCAGCCACACCTGCCATTAACAAGAGACTCAAGGACAGACCTTAGGCGATTTAGTCCCCTACGGAGATTTCCCTTTGGTTTATATAACGACATTGCATTTCCCCTTCCAAATCCTAAGGCATACTCTATTTTCTCCTTTAGTCTACATCTGTCAAAAGCCTGATATTTCAGTGTTTCACACTCAGAGGAGGGTTTTGAGTCTTAACCTTTTCAGCATTAATTGCATTCCCCATTTCCATCAGAAAAGATTTCTTGGAGAAATAAATTAGGCCAATAAACTGATATACTGCTTTAATTCTGTTTGAACAGAACAGGCAAGAAAGGGGAGAGAGTCAGGGCTATTTTCCATCCTGTGTAACAGAAAGACAGACAACTCAGGGGACAAAGGATCCAAATCGGTGTAAATCAAGTTTCTCTCAGCTTCCCCACAGAGGCATCACCAGTACTGGGCAAGATCAGTAATCCTAGGCTAGCCCAGTGCCACCTTTCCTCTTTAACCCTTGCAAGGCAGTGTTACTGAGAGGTAAAAATACAAAAGGAACGATAAAAATACAGAATGACCCAGAGACAACACACACTGTAGGAAGATGCTATTCCTTTTCCCACATCTAGAGCGCCCTGAGGCCAGCAAGCTCGGGACACGTAACACTTAAAAAGTCATGGGAGACAGAAGGCTGCGGGAAGGCAAGTCATAAGGCTGGTCCTTGTACTTTCCAAGGAAAGTGTCACCACATCCACCATTTGCCGCAAAGAGCTGAGGATGAGGGTCGAGTGTCAGCATGGGGGGCAGAAAGAGGCAGCCAAGAAAGAAGAGGTGGGCAGATGCCTGTGGGGTCTGCCATGAGAAAAAAAAAAAAAAAAAAAAAAAAAAGAAAAGCATCTTACAAACCTGTTCGCTACAAGTCCCATATTCATAACTGTTTCCAAATGGAAGGCTGTGTGAAAAGCCAAAGCAAACATTCTCAATTCTTTTTGAACCCATCAGACAATATAGGAAAAATATGTGCATTTTATGGTTTGAGGGTACAACCTTTTAATTATGTTTTTGCATCGTCATGTCCAAGACCTTTTTTCTCCTCAAAAATTAATATTTCCTCAAGCAATGCAGCTATTTATCTTGGATGAACATGAATTGAAACACAATCTGCCTCTGCAGAGAGAGGCGCAGAAGAGTTATAACATGACACCTAGGGGAATTCAGAACACATTGCAATGCAAACCTCCTCATTTTTCTAGTGCCTTTTCAACTGAGTTTCCTACAGTTCTCTTAACAGTTTCCAGCTATTGTTTTGCATATGCCGTACATGCACGCTCATGGAGGCACTTGGAAAAAAAAAAAAGAACAAGTGCAGGTAATGGGGAAGGCAGGGAGAAATTGAAGCAAATAAAATGTAGGCTTTTTCTCTCTACTGGAGCCGAATGAAACGCAGTTCTGTCATCCAAGACCAGCAAGTGTTCTGGCACATAATCACCTCTCACTTCCCTGCAATGAAGCACAGCCTCATGAGCACAAAGCTAAGGAAGATGTCAATCAACTGCTTTTGCCACTAAGGAATTTTATCTGCAGCAAGACCATAAAGCAACGGTTACAAATGATACTTAAATTAAAATGTACTGAGCCGTTGCAAGAAAATTCAGGCCTACTTTGGAAAAGACATTACATTTAGTGATAATTGAGGCTCTCGAAAAACTTACACCTAGTGTTCAGGCACCAACTTTCCCCCCTTCGAGCCTTACAGACTTAGTAGCTGGCCAACAAATCATACAGCAACTTCCAAAAGATGAACAGCAGCAATAATAGAAGCAAAAATACCAGAATGCATTTGTACTTAATGGATAAGTGCTAAAGTACCAAGAGGACAGTGAAGGAGGAGTGTTTCCATATTCAATCTAATTATTATTTCACAATAGAGAAGTTTTTATGCACATACAACACCTTTCAAGCTAAATCATCAAAAAAACCGCTTCCTACACAGTTTACACAACCTATCACTAAAATGAACCCAGTTTGGAGCGACTGCCGATAAACAGCTTCTTTATCAAACACTGCGCAACAGCGTACTAGGAGGGAAAATCCTGGCTTGGTCACTCCTGGTGAATTCTGACATCTGCAAAGATTTTAATGAGATCCTTTTGGGCAAAGCCAGCCGGGCAGCCAAGACTAGGTTTAGTCATGGGTGAAATTTCCACACACAGTAACACTCATAGGACTTGAATGTCCTGCCGTGGAAGGGTGAAAGCTTCCCCTTGTGACCTCAGCGTCACTTCTCTGTTGACTAAGCTGAATTTCAGTTGCGCCTGACAACTCACCGTCCCCAGGTGTTGCAACCGGGGAGAGCAAAGAACATGCTCTCTAATTATAAGACTCTATTTTGCAAATCCTTCAGCTTTCAGGGGTTTGCCTGGAAAGTACTGTACCACAGACTCAAAATGTCCTGTTATAAAAGGAGGGGGGGAGGAAACAGAAATATGAAATGTGTTCCAAGTGAATCTAAAAATTTTGAAATCTATAAGAGACAGCTGGGAGGCTTCCCATTGCATCACTTGCCTATACTACTGCAAATCCTTCACTTACTCCATCCAGAAGGCCATATTCAGCCCCAACATAAAAAGGTGCATTGCACAAGGCCCTCAGCCCCCACAGAAGTCAATTCACAAGCCAAGCAGTGTGACCTATTATTTTTTTGTAATCCAGAAGAAATAAAGGATAATATATTCTGTTTTCTTGTTTGTAAACCACTGATGCCATTATCGTTTCTGTAACCCAAAAAAAATTTAAAAAATAGGAAAACAGATAGTCAGATTTCTCAGCCAAAGTGTTATTTCCAAACTTACACTTCACAAATAAAAGGTCCCAGAAAAAAAAACCTCTTCAGGCAAGCTAGAAATAACCAGGCCAATAATTTATTTCTCTGTGGTTCAATGTGCGTGGGACACCACCTGTGGTTCATTTAGCTGCAGCAGCAAAAGCTCACCTCAACCTTGGCCACACAAATACCAGAAAACTTAACATACTTACCATTATCACAGTGAGGGAGATGGTTAGTCTTGACACACCACTGAAAAACGAGGCAGCTCCAATGGCGGCAAAGAGACCTGGATCAATCCATGCACCGTATTTATTAGTTTGAACCCCAAAAATGGAAACAAGGATCAAACCGATTATCCTGCCATACAAAGCTCCTGTGTACCTGTATGCAAGAAGAAAAAAAGCAATCCTTTTGCCAATGATAGTGTTTTCTAGAAATGCTTCTAATATTCTGCTGATCCCAGATTAACTGTGGCAACTTCTGTAGCGACTCCTTTCCCAAGAAAAGCTCTAGCATCTTTCCTTAGTATGAGCATTTACTTAGTGCCAATCACTAGCATGAAACTGCCAGATTTACCGTACTTTGAAGAAAAAGGACTATCGGCATGTCTTTCTTAATGTCCTTCAAAGCCAAATGAGAATGAACCTTACAGGAATACAGTCAAAAGTATAGGTCACAGATATACACACCGGGATATTTCAGATAAAAAACCCGCACTTCTAGAGCTCCAGCCTTATATAATTTCTTAAAATTAAGTCTACCTGTGCCCCATAAACCCGGCAAGTAAAATATTACAGCCATATAACAAATGGGCAAAATGGAGTAATAGGTATTAATGACCTGCCCAAAGCTAACCAGGAATGAAGCTGTGAAGAGAACCCAGAAGTCCTCAAACCAACCATATGCTACACTGAAGAGCAAAACCAAAATTTAGCACAGTTGGGCATGTAATTGCTGGCGTGATACACAGCATTTCATTCCATATGCAAGGAATTAAATATACAGATTCAAGCATCAGCCAATGAACTGGATTTGTACTGACATTCACCTTCCGGAAATGATAAATTATTATTACTTATACAATGGCCATATATGATATATATTATCTGATTTGGGGAGCATCATCTTGCACCATTACACAACTTTTTCCCATTTATTCATGCAATTAATTCATTTTATTAATGGATGCAGTTTTAGTAGTTCTAGAATGTTACAAAAATTAGGTTATTGGGTCAGAAACATGGGTGCTGGCTGACAGACTTGACTATCTATATCTATTCAGCCAAGTATGCCATGTTTCAGCAAACACTGTGTATTAAAAATTGATTTAGACAACAGTTTGGGGAGGGTAGGAGGCAAATACTCAGGGGTAGGGCAAAGGCAGAAGGTTGGACACACAACTATTTCTTTTTAGAATTTTTTCAGTATTTGAACTGCATTATCCTGGATACCCACTCTCCAGCCATGACTCCCTGCTTCCTGAACATTAAACCTCTCAACATGACTGTAAGAACTTTGCTCTAGTCTACCACATCTTTCTAAAAAGTACAACAAAAGACCTAACTGCAGTTTTCTCCAAAGTCTAGGGTGTTGATGTCCAAGATTAAGATTCAGGCTATTATGTGCATAAGAAACAGATGAAAAGTCTGGATCTGAACCCGTATTTCTACAGTTACAGGGATGGAGCCAGCAGCCGAGACTCCCTCTGGGTCCCCAAAGGATTCAAATGATCTATACTTGGAAAGTACACAGTTTTGGCTATGGTCCTTCCATAGCTATTCTCAGATGATTTTTCTTCATTCTTTTCCACAATTTTAACATCTCTTTCCAAGCAAACCATCCTGTTCCACCTATATAACCTCCTCCAAGCACTTATAGCTTTGCTATTGCCAAGCTTTCAGCTTGCGATTCGGGTTGTTGCTACTCAGCACAGGCCTTTTGTACAGGAAGCTCAAACCAAGATGGGTGAAGCTTACAGCATAGGAATAACCAGGCCACTGGCAACAGCAGAACCTGCCGTCCAACAGCTGAGGATGAAATAAAATGCCAAAGCAGTGCAGAGGGATGTGTATCCAAATTCTTCATGAGTCCCACGTTTAAAGAGATACGTGATCCCTTGCTTCCCATTTTCAACTAGAAGCGCAGCAGCTGCAACACAGAGGAAGACATGTGGAGAGATACAAAACATTAAAAGGATCCTTTACAAAAAAACCAGTTTGTAGTAGTTCTCATTTGCCTAAACCTGATAAGAAATCAGCAAAGTGCATAGATCAGTTAGTTGGGGTTTACATGACAGCTTCAGCATCTGGGGCACTTTACAGGAAACAAGGAACATTTGTTCTTTCCAGTCCGGTCTGTGTGATGTTAATCTTGATCTAAACAAGGAGAAACTGCAGCCATTTAAGCCAAAGAAAGGCAACCGTACTACTTCAGCAGGGCTCTTTCCCCGTTCCTTTCAGAGGTAATAACTCGGGAACTTCCCACCATATTTGGCTCAAATATGGAATTTAGTTCTGATATATCCCTCAAAAGGGAGCACTACATTACTTTGAAGAAAACCTACGCTATGAGTAAATATACTTGGATATCACCTCAAGTTATGTAAATTCAATTTGTTCCCGGGTATCAATCACTTAGCTCCCCTTACCTTGATTGAAGGTTTGATTAGAATATCTGACTCCATCTGGACCAATCCATGTGCTTGATGAACAACTATATTCTGAAATTTCTCTCTTGAACTGATTTAGGCTTAAATTTAAAAAAAAAAAAAAAAGTAAATGGATGAATATAACTTACCTTAGTGCCTGTACAGACTGTGTCTATTAGATATAAATTTTACACAAAAAGCCTACTTTCCCTTACATCTCCCAATTAAGTTGTTTTATTAACTAATATCTCTAGTTTACTACATCAGTTTATTAATTATTCTACTAAACTAATAAATCTGGTTTATTAATGCTCATATTCCTCTGCATAAACCTCCTGCTGCTGAAACCCGAAATTTCCAAAACCAGAAATCACATTACACTGCCTAAAACCAGAAAACAGGAAAAAAAAAATCTGATTAAAATGCCCAGCCTGGCCTCGATCTCCTCGTCCACACATATCATTGTAACTCTATTAAACAGGATTAGCAGACCAAAAATTTATCATCCCCGACAAACACTTCAGTGGGTAAGCACAGCATCCCAAGCTGACAGATGCATTTGCAGTTAGAAAGCTTTGCACAGGAGAGCGCCATGGAGAGCTGGAAGGACTCGGAGGTTTCCCCTTTCACAGCAGCGCAGGCTATACCCAAACCACACCTAAAAGGTGTTTGTCCAACACATTCTTCAAGCTCTCCTTCGGTAAATACTGGCACCGGTTATTTCAACATCTTGCAACTTCGGCTGCCAGTTATCATGCCGACCATGACCAGCCTTTCTGTACAGCACTACTATTCCTGGACACTTTCTCAATCTCTGTCGTCTGGAACAATTGCACGCTCCAAGCAGGTATGACTTCCTTCTTCCATTAAAATGCCAGCCTGGCCTCGATCTCCTCGTCCACACATATCATTGTAACTCTATTAAACAGGATTAGCAGACCAAAAATTTATCATCCCCGACAAACACTTCAGTGGGTAAGCACAGCATCCCAAGCTGACAGATGCATTTGCAGTTAGAAAGCTTTGCACAGGAGAGCGCCATGGAGAGCTGGAAGGACTCGGAGGTTTCCCCTTTCACAGCAGCGCAGGCTATACCCAAACCACACCTAAAAGGTGTTTGTCCAACACATTCTTCAAGCTCTCCTTCGGTAAATACTGGCACCGGTTATTTCAACATCTTGCAACTTCGGCTGCCAGTTATCATGCCGACCATGACCAGCCTTTCTGTACAGCACTACTATTCCTGGACACTTTCTCAATCTCTGTCGTCTGGAACAATTGCACGCTCCAAGCAGGTATGACTTCCTTCTTCCAGTTTGGAAAGCATCCAGCATGTTTTGGACATCACCACAACCTAAACAGTAACAATATGAACTCTGTTTCTGGAACAAAGAGCGGGAGATCTGTGGTATTTGACCCACCTGATCCCTGCTCAGAACTACAAGGAAAACTGAAAATGCAGCCAACTTCTAGTGCAAGAAAATTTCTTCCAGACCCCAGATTGGCAACCAAAGGAACACAAGATACTTCCCAATCTTGTATTTGCTTTTTACATTAATCCAACCACTCAGACAAGAATATATTCCAAATTCATAATAGTCAATAAAAAATAAAAATCTTATTTACTCCATCCTGCTTTAGAAATCATACGATTGTGTAACCCACTTATAGCAAAGCCTCAAGTTCTATACACGTCTTTACTACCGGTAAAGGAGTGCACACACAAAAACCAGCACATCTGAGAGGCAATTCGAAGCTTGCAGCAATGCCAAAACAACAGAGAGAGAAACAACAGAAGAAAGTTGTTTTACCGTTAAAATACATGGTTGAGCAAGAAGAACAAAGCACAGAGAATGGAGATGTAGGACTTGTTTACACACAGGGTTTTGTACCACTAACTCTTTCTGTTTTAAATCAGTATATTTAGTAGAGACAGACTTCTCCCTGGTGCCAGTGGGAGGACTGCACTGCCACACTGCCTGCTGCAGGAATACATGTGCTGTGCTGAAACCTGCTAATGGAGGAAGCCCACTGCTTCTTTACCTCCTTCTCCTGCCCCCCCACAACCTCCTATTCCTCCTTTTCCCAGGAATATCAAGGCCTGCTGGAAGTGCTACAAAACACTACTGAAAGCACTGTTCCAGTATAAATTTATGAGGATAAGCTATGCTAGAAGGAAGTGCTGTCATACTGGCATAGCCACATACAGCCCCATCTGGAGCTGCAGCTCTTGTACTATCATGGTTTAAAAGAAAAAACATACACTTCACCGAGTTGGATCAGTACAAAAGAGAAAACTAAGCATCTTACAAATTTTTTGTTATGTGGTTCTTACTGGATATCTTAAAGTGGAAAGGGTGCCTCTTACTAATCTGTTGGACCTTCAAAGCTTAAAGACATTTACCTGCCTCTGGAGCTCTGACTAAGAATCTCGGATTACGCTGACATGAGCCAAATCTAAATGTTCCTAATTAAAATTTCACAACTGCAATCATAATTCCCTTTTTTAATTTCTAAGACTGGGAGAACAGTGAACAAGATTCTTTTCCACGTTTAGTCTTGTACCTTATTACAAGCTTACTAGAGTCATCATCACTGCCTTCAGCATATGCATGGCCTTGCAAAGTCCATGGCAATTTGGTGCTTAATTCCCTTCAGATCTATCAGTTTTCAACAGGATGTACTCTTTATAACTTGTAGCCACACCAGATGACAAATTGGCACAAAGACCGTTTAGCCTCTAGGCTGGATCAGCCTGACTATTTTCGATTCAGAGACAGACAAAAAAAGCCATGACATTATCGTGGTTTCAGATGTTTTTCCTTTAGAGCAAACATAGTTTTGTTTTGAAAAATAACATTTTGCAAGCATTTAGTCCTTAAAATAAAAAAGGATGTCGGGGTGAGGAAAAAGGCTTTTCCTGTAGCAATCCAAATAGCCATAGTCACCAAGTCCTGGTACTAAGTAAGTGACAAAGTTTGCTTTTGTGAAGAATATGTAAATACACATTATAGCAAACAATACTGAACCAGGTATTGCAAGTCAAATGACAGTCTAGAATTGGTGGCAAGAATGGGAAAGTATGTCTGCTTTCTATATACTTAAATAAGCTGTTCAGAGTCCAGTCACCAATGGCAAGTTATTCAGTATTTACATACTGAAATTGCATATATGCAATATATGTGACGCTGCCCACTTGGGTTCGTATTATGCAATATATGTGACGCTGCCCACTTGGAAGGAGGAATTCATAAATTTTACAAATTTATAAATTTGTAAAACTACAAGTTAGTAGTGGCCATTTGCAATGACTGAGAACTCAAGTTGTCAATTAACCTCAATCTGAGCAATTCTTTTTCTACCTCCTCTGGATTCCTCATAGGTATTTCTCAAGAAAGATATTTGGACTGCAAAACCTGTATCAGATTCAAGGATGTCTCCAACTGTATGACCCATAAATCCCTAGCCGTTCAGCCACATATCCCCTGCCTGTTTATTAACATAATATTTGTCATTTTAAGTCCCCGGATTACAGTTTGTGCTGTAGTGGCACGCGCCTCTGATGTGTTACCTGTTGGTGTTCTTATATAGATGACTGAACAAATCATGTCCCTCCACCAATAGTAGCTGACTGAAGCTGAGAATAATGAAGGTTTTTCAACAGTTTCCAGTTCCAGCTTTCCAGTTAAAGCACAGCCTGTTTCCTATAGACTTATATACCTATATATAAGGTGTATACACCTTTTTAATCAAAATCACGATTCCAAATTGAAAAAGTCCTTGCATGATACATAACAGCCACGTTTCAGGCCCTTTTCATTTTTGAACTCCCTTTTGTTTCTTTCTTTCTCCTTTTTTTTTTTTTTTCTTTAATTTGACATGATGGCAAATGCCTCTCACTGGAAAAGTTTAAGTGTGATTAAATTTCAGTGATTAAAAGATTAAGTGTGATTCTTGTCTCTACATGAATTAATTTTAAACATTCAGCTCTGATGCACCTTTGAATCTTTCCATCCCAAATCTTTGTAACAACTAACTGGAAGAAATGGTTAATAATTGTATTTACATAGATATGCTCCCGGTGACTCTCCCCACTTACGTTTCTGAGTTGTTTCTCAGCTGGTAGTTTCTCACGCTCATGACTGGAGTGCAAGGAAAGAAATACGGTAAGTATACTGTAACAGTCGTCGTACATACCTGCAGGCATTAAAATAAGTAAATAGACTATCGTGAGATGTAGAAACAGACAAAAACAGAAAGAAAAGTGTCTAAAATCACTAGTGCCAGCAGTTACCACAAGGAAATTGTCCTTTCGTCTTGCTCACACATCCCAGAAGATCAGCATTTACTCCTAAGCAGCCAGTGAGGCCCAGATTCATCCCATCGAAATTCAGGGACTCAACTGTTGCAACGAGGTAATTGACCTCCAACCCCGCAGCCACCAGAGAGCCACCGCTACCTCCAGAGAGAAAGATTCGCAGCACATGGGATGCTCCACATGTGCCCAGCCTCCCCGCCACGTGCCACGTTCAGCCAGAGCTCCTTGCAGGCTACCAGCCTGAGACTGCAACTTGCGCACAGCAAGGACTCAGGATCTATATGTCTTTCATTAAGGACCTAGATTTTTGGTTGGTACTTAAAATTATGCTGTGTGTCAAAAGCAATCCACTGCTTCAATTTAAGTTACTTCCTGATTTATGCAAATTTGAAGTTCCTGATCAGCATGAACAGCTAAAGACTTGTTTCTAACTAACTTGTTAACTTATTGCTTCCCTGCCCTTTCAAAGAGGATGTTATGAAAGGACTAATATTCAGGTAATCAACAGAAAGAAGTTCCTAGACATCCTAGCATACTAGACAGCTATAATGCCTAAAGCAGATTACATACTATCCAGTAGAGACACAGGCATTGCAATCCAAATGGATGAAGAGACTTTACAAGGTCCTTCTACTAGTTTTCCATATACCCATTTTGAAGTAAACATGAATGAAACCAAAAATGTTTGGAATAGAGCACAGCAGGTGGTGTTTACGCTGGCTGCTTTGCATTCGCCAAAAACAAAGGAAGTTTTTACATGAGATAACTATATTTCAGTTATGCATATTTTTCAACATAGCATAGTTCAATGTAACAGTTATATTTCATTCAAAACTAATCTTAAGTTTTTTATCTTAGTTGCGATCAATTTACATTTCTAATAAATTAAGATACACCCAAAAATAAAAAAGAGTTAGAAAAGATTGCAGTAGACATCTGGAGAGAAATTACTGGAACACACAGCCATAACAGTAGTATATCTTCCAAGCACAAAGTTTCATGCACTCTGTGGACTGTTTTAAAAAAGTTCAGGTAGCACATTTATAGAAACCCTCAAGCTGAGATTCAGCTGTGCGCAGTTGTGACAATTTGTCAGACAATCGTATCTCAAGCCTTTGTTTCCCTGTATCTCAAAGATTATAAGCTTATGGGCAGAGCGCATCTACAAGAGATAGATGAAACTGGGAGTAGTTCGGTCTTCACAAAGCTTAGGTCAGGTTTTGTTTCTGAAAACTTAACTCTGGGACAGTTCAAACCCAGGTCAAGTTTTTGCCAAAGCCCCGAAGTCCAAAGGGAGCTAGAAGGACAGCTAGCCTGGAGCCAGTGGCTACATATTTAAAGCAGTAGCCTATCTTCACAGCTAGGTAGAAAAAAATATAATCCTGTCGAGTAACGTTTTAAAGCTCTGACAGTTTAAGTATATATGCATATGTCCTTAAATTGTTCACCCTGCCCATGGAAACACTGAGCTTTTGGAACAGAAGCATTAGTCAACATGATAAAACATTAGAAAAAGAAAGATAGCTCTGCCAGATTCTTGGCAAAACATTATCTACATTGTGATTTCCTCACAGAGAGAAAGGTGATGAATTGAGGAGAAGCAAACGCAGGCCAAGGGGCAGAAGGGCACTTAGGAAGACGGCTTCACCTAATCTATGGGCTGAAGATTAGATATCCAATTCCAGTCAAAGGAATGGTACTCCAGGTTATGTTGTGGGTGTGGAAGATACCGTGACGGGTTCTTTCCAAGTTTAAATGCAGACTGGTTTATACAAGATTATTTTTGGTTAAAGTCACTGTGACATAGTTTCTTTCAGTTGCCTGGTTATGTGAGTTTAATAAAAAAAAAAAAAAAAAAAAAA